CCCGCTCCCCTCTCCGGGGCCCAGGCCGGGGGCGGCTGCGCGCGGCCGCCTCCATCCCTGTGCCTTTGCTTTTCAGAGGGCGCTCAACTCCTACTTTGAGTCGGGCGTGGACGAGGGAGCGTCGGACGCCGGGCCGAGGATCCCCCCGCCCGCCGCCGTCTGGTGAGTGAGCGGGGCGCGGGGTGCGGGGTGGGGGGATGGGGCGGTGCCCAGAAAAGAGACCCGGGGTCACGGTGGTGCACGGCCTGAAGCCTCTCCGCCGAGTCTGCGAGCATTTACTGAGATCCTGTTCTGGCGCTGAGCGAGGCTGGAGATGCAAAGAAAGGAAGGGGGAAATCAGCCCCTGCTGCTCCTTTCTGTGTGCAGAAAAGATTATGTGTACGTGTGCATTGCTTGTATATACGCACACCCGTATACATGCATGTATGTATATGTGCATATGCACGCGGAGCCTGCTAGGTGGTACGGGGGATGGAGCGCTGTGTCTGGGATCCGCAAGACCTGAATTCAAATTCGACCTCAGACATTAGCTGTGTGACCCAGGGCAAGTCACTTTAACCTCTGTTTACTTTAATCCACTAAAGCTAACCGCTTTAGTATTTTTGCCAAGAAAACCCGTACGGGGTCACTAACTACAGAACGACAACAACAGTACACGTGTATGTGTATATGGGCATGTACACATGTTAGGTATGTGTATTGTGTATATGTATAGATATACGAGAGGAATTGGAATTAATTTCAGAGGGAGGGCATCTGCAGATATCTGTCTTGAATTTGGATCTGGAAGGAGCTTTGGAAACCTTCCAATGCAGGGATTTTTGAGGTGGGGCACTCTAAGGGGTCCAATCAAATAAATTTCACAGGTCCAGGAAACTTGAATGGGGGAAAAATTAACATTCTTACTTCCTAAACTAACAGAAAGTTGGCATTTCCTTCAGTTTTGAAGGTAGGAAATAAAACGTTGTGAGAAGGGATTTATAGGTTTATCTAAACTTCCAAAGGGGTTCCTGAGCTAAAAAGGTTTAGAAAAACCCCAGTCTACTCCATTCTCTTCATTTTATAAATGAGGAGCTTGAACTCTAGAGAGTTTAAGAAAAAAACAAAACAAACAAAACTCTGCCAACTTGGGGCCCTACAGAGCTATCTGTAAGTGAAAAAAGTGGAATTTGAACCCAGATTCAAGTCTGCTCCTCCAGATCCAGTGCATAACTGACTTTTGATATCCAATCTGTTGTCAAGTTTTGTTTTTTCTTTCTTCACAAAATCTCTTGTAGTGTATGACTCTTTTCTACTCACCCAACCACCCCTCCACTAGATAGATGTCTTCCAAGGTTCACACATCCTAGTTCATCCTCATCACTTCTCTCTGGATAGGTGCAGTAGCCATCAAATTGGTCTTCCTGCCTCAAGTCTCTCCCCAGTCCATATTCCACTTATCTGCCACAATGATCTTCCTCCAGCACAAATCTGACCATGTCACCTCCTCACCCAATAAACCTGTTACCTCCAGATCAATTAGAAAACCCTCTCCCTAGCTTTTAAAGCTTTTCACAAGCTGACCTCTTTCTGCCTGCCATTCACAAGTTGTCTGCTTCCTGTTGTTTTAGTCTTCTTAGACATTACTCCCCTCCTCATACTCTTTAAGATTCAGTGACCTCTGGCCTTCTTGCAGTTCCTCACAACATTTCATCTTCCCACAGCCTACCTTTTCACTAGCTGAACCTCATGCCTGGAATACTCTTCCTCCTTGCCTCTGTCTCCTGACCTTCTGGCTTCCTTCAGGACTTAGCTCACATCACCCCTTCCCTCACCCCCAATAGTACCTTCTCTCTGAACTTAACTTTCATTTACACTGTGTGTATCTTGTGTGTACAATTTTTTTGGGGGGGGGGGGCATGGTGTTTCCTCCTTTAGAATGTGCGCTCTTTGAGGGCCAGGACCTGTTTTTGGTTTTTTTTTCCTTTCTTTGTGTTCCCAGCCCTCACCGTCAGCATACCTATGTAGTTCATTGTAAAAGCTTAATAAATGCTTGTTGATTGATTCTCTTCAAGGATAAGAGGCCAAGTATGGAAAGTTCTAAAGCTTCAGAAGGAATAACAATCACTTTAAATAGTGCTTTAAAGTTTGCACAGTGGTTTATATAAGTGATCTATCTCATTTGATCCTCACTACAGTTCTTTGAGGTAGGTGCTGTTATCACTTCTGTTTTACCAAGGAAAAACTGAAACTCAGAGGAATAAACTGAAACTCAAGAGACCATAATCTTTGCCCTGGTACACACAACTAATAAATGTCTGAGACTGAATTATAACTGAGGTTTTCCTGATGCCAGATCCAGGGCTTTGTCTACTATGAAGCCAGGAAGAAAACCTTTGACTTGGTAACCACTAATTCTTTGGGGCAGGAAAGAAACTGGAAAAATAAAGCTTTGGAAATAGAGTCGACACTACATCTTTGAATAAAAGTTATGCAGACATTTGCTAAGCATCTCTTAGATAGGGCATTGTCTTCTTCCTTGTGAGAGGCAATAGTGTGAAGTACAAATATTAACAAGTCTCGGTATTGTACCCAAGGAGTTCAGTCAATTAGGAGATATATGACACATACACAAATACCCGCAGTATAAAATAGAACAGGACATAAGAATGGTACAAAGTGGTATGTGAGTCTGAGGAAATAAAGACTATTTGCTGCCTCCGGAGATAAAAGCAGTACTTGGAGAAAATGGCATTTGAAGGATTTGAAGAGTACCTGGTCAGATCGAAACTTGCTCAGTGTTTATTTACATTACTTTTTTTAATCAGCAGGTTCCTTGAATGCTCATTGCTCTTTAACCTTTTAAGTCAAACATGAAAGCAAAGCTAAGGAATTGCTCTTACTTTAATCTTTGAAAGCCATGAACAATAGTAATTATATTGTTAATATGTGAAAATGACAAAAAGCTGGTGCAGCCAAGTTAGTTATTCCTTACTGCTTTTTCTAACACAAACATTCCTTTGATAATACATCTTGAGCTACCTATCTCATTTTCTCCAATAGACTTGATGAAGAAAAATTAAAACAACTGATAACCCAAACAGTTGATAACCTCGACGGACAAGAAAGCAAACTTTGGGCTAGAATGAAAATCTCAGAGTTTAATGAGTTTAAACATGCCGTTGAAGGATGTTCAGATAGCATTCTACCTAGCATAAATAGTCAAATATGTAGAGAAGGGGTTCATGGAGCCTTGAGGGGTCTTGTGTACGTGGATGGGGGGAAAAAATCAGATCTATTTTTACTTTTAATTGAAATTTAGCATTTCTTCAGTTTTGAATTTTTAAAATAAATAAAGTTCCACAGGCTTCACTAAACTGTCAAAGGTCAAGAACCACAGATTTAGAGAATGTAGTTTAAATGACTTAATTTTTCTTCAGTCATCTGAGTATATTGTATGTCTTCAAGACAGATGCATTAAGTCTGTACTTTGCTATGTTCCTCTGCAAAATGAAGGCAATAAAAACTTTCAAAATAATTCTTAAATTATACATCATTTATAAAATTATTTTTCTTTATGTTGTTGCTAGTGTTGACCTGACAAATGAACCAACAATTAATGTCACCAATACTGGTGTCAATATAGAGAATCATGTCCAGAAAGAAGATGACAGTACATTTTCTTTAATTACATGGAATATTGATGGATTGGATATACACAGTTTGCAAGATCGGGCTAAAAGCGTGTGTGAATATTTGGCTTTGTAAGTATTATTATTTACTTTTAATTATAGCAGTCCTATGCATTTGCTTAACAACTTAATATTTCAAAGTATTTTCACATCTGTTTTCTCATAACAGGTAGTTAGGGCATGTATAATTATCCCCATTTTACAGATAAAAATTGAGACCTCTTACAGAGGTTAAGTACATGAATGTCTAAGGTCACAAAGTTAAGTTAGTAGAAGAGCCAGAACTGAAACTGAATTCTCAGAAGAACAGTCTTTCCACTAAAATACTTCACTTTCTGTATATATAGACCATGCTCAAATAATTAAATTCTATATTTTTAAGTACAAAGTGTAATTCTAGAAAAACCATAATGCTCATGAGAACATCTTTGCAAAGGAGTAAATGTCAAATGTTCTCATAAGTCAATATCAAAATATCATAGCTTGGGATACAAAATTTCCCGTGGAAAGAATGCTATATTCATTTAAAGAGTATTACATTTGGGCATATTTTTGAAGTTAGCATCTCTAGCTGGAATTAATATGGCAGTACCTCTTACGTTGCTTATTTGTTTATTGAATATATTATTAGGGAGTTTTAAAATCCTAACTTAATTTCAGCAAAAGTAATTGCAGGGTCATTTTTGAGAATACTAGACATGTAAAAAGGTGGAAGATTTGGAAGACAACTGTAGTTTTAAAGTTGCATTTTATTTATGTTAGATGGAAGGAAAGACCGAATTATTCTCTGCTGGTAACTTTTATTTCAAACTTTCATGTGTGGTGTTGCTATAACTTTTACCAATATTAGAAAAATTAATAACTGATGCTATAATTTCTGTCCATGAGTACCCTTCCCTTCAATAGCCAATAAATATCATGTAAATTGTTAACAAAATTGTGTTCATTTTTGGAATTCTGTTAAAGTGACAGCTTATGTTTTTCTCAGTTATAGAGTAATATGTTCTGGTCTCATTTCCTGGAGTTATGTTCTAGGGAAATGTTATATTTCTTATTAGTCTTATAACAAACTCATTTTTAAAAATTAGGTACACTCCAGATGTGGTATTTCTTCAAGAAGTGATTCCACCATACTACAACTATCTAAAGAAAAGAGCAACCAGTTACACAATTATTTCAGGTAACACCTTTCTGGTTATTTAGCTTACCTATTAAGAGAATGATTTTCAAAATATCTATCTCTTTAAAAACATCTTTCTCCCTCTTATTTGGAAAATTGTCTCTTTCCTTAGTTGAAATTTTTTTTTTAAAATGTATGAGGCAATTAGGGTTAAGTGACTTGCCCAGAGTCACGCAGCTAGTGAGTGTTATGTGTCTGAGGCCAGACTTGAACTCAGGGACTCCAGGGCTAGTGCTCTATCCACTGAGCCACCTAGCTGCCCTAAACTTTTTTTTTTTTTCCCAGCTAGGCAGTAGGGTTAAGTGACTTGCCCAGGGTCACACAGCTAGTAAGTGTCAGGCTGGATTTGAACTCAGGTCCTCCTGATTTCAGGGCCAGTGCTCTACCCACTGTGCCATCTAGCTACTCCTGTTGAAATATTTTAATCATTGATGTTAGCTGTGCAGTGACTGGGAAGAAAGTGAATGTTATCTGGTTCTTAGAATGGGATCATCAATGGCAAATTCTTTCTTAGGTAAATGACTTTAGTTTCTGGGGTGTCATTTTCAAATACTAACTTTAGAGACAACTTCATCTTTGAATTAAATTTATCTTTGAAAATAGATAATAGTTGCACTAACAGGCAGTGCTTTTCTTGAAAGAATCTGTGTGAGCATTTATAACTGTTCTTGGTACATTGTGTGATAAAGGACATAAGATGAAGATAGGTTGTGTTCAAAGTACTCGAAATCTGTTCTAGCCCTTAATTCTATCCTTTAGAAATGCTCAGATCAGAGGTTTCAGACACCAACACTCCCAAAGTGCAGCTGAACCAGATTAAATTGCAATTGGGAAACCTTTAACAAAATAAATTAAAATACAGTACAACATATATAACTTTTTTTAATTTAAAATTTTTATTTTCAGATCCAAATTTTCTCCCTTCTACCCACCCAACCATTAAAAAGACAAGAAATATGATACCCATTATGCATAATAACATTATATTTTAAAACTAAATTAGTATGTGGCCCTGTATGGATTAGTGGACCCCATTTCTATTTGAATTTGACACCACTGCTCTAAATGATCTATTCATGGAATGTAACTTTCTCTTTTAAAAAACATTTTAAGGTAATGAAGATGGCTATTTCACCGTAGTAATGTTGAAGAAGTCAAGAGTGAAGTTAATAAGCTATGAAATTACACCTTTTCCTACTACTCAGATGATGAGAAACCTTTTGTGTGTGCATGTAAGTGAACTTGTGAAGAAATTACCCTCATTTTTGTAATTCCATAGACCTGTGTTTTAATAAAAGTTTGCCTTTCTCTTTAAAATAGCTTCCTTTCAGTGTTCGTGAACTTTTCGAATGAACTTAGATGAATGCTATGTCAAAATAAACTTGCTTGAAGGCATATCTCTCCTGAGATAGAAGGATTTAATTTAAATCTGTGTTTGCTTCCTGAAATAATTATTACTAATTCCCTGAGTTAGTTGGTACCATGATATTAAGTGGTAAATTACCCTCAATTAACCAGCTAGTAATTGGAGAAGAAAATATCTGAGTGAGAGGGCAGTAGAGGGGGATAGATATTGGCAAGCATAGTTTTTATGGTTTTACTGAAGGCACTGGATGAAGTCAATTTGAATGGCACTTTCTTTAGGAAGTAAAGACCTCTCCTATTTGGACCTCACATAGCACCCCTCTCATTGTACACAGTGCACTGCACCTCATAGGTGCACCTGCAGTAGGATCAATGTTTGTTAAATCTGATCAGTGTTAAGATAAATTCATTGCTTGCAAGTACTTACCAGTAAGTGCTTAGGGAGATACACAAAATTTAGAAAAACCTTGGTTTCTATCCTCTTGGAGCTTACAGCCCTTTAGGGATGTGTGACCAAATATAAATGACTGTAATATATAGCAGTACATGCAAATATATAAGAAAGATGTGCTGTGTGAGTTCCGAGAGGGAAGTGCCTTTTGAGTTGGCTCCAGCCACTGACTCCCCACCCCGAGTCTTTTTTTCTCCAAGTACTGGCCCTTCTTACCAATGCAAATCCCTCTATGTGGACTCTGAATCCCGTCCCCTCCCATTTTCTTTAGCACATTGTCTCCTCTCTCATCCCTACTTTCTCGCTAATTTTCTGTCTCTCCCCATCTACTGGCTCCATCCTTGCTGCCTACCATGTATAGATATATATATATATATATATAAAATATACCCATGTTTCTCCAGTTCTTAAAGTATCCTCACTTGATCCAGCTNGTGTGTGTGTGTATATATATAAAATATACCCATGTTTCTCCAGTTCTTAAAGTATCCTCACTTGATCCAGCTGTCCCTCTTATCTGTTGTCCTATATCTCTCCTCCTCTTCTAGGCTAAACTGTTTGAGAAATCTGTCTGTAGTAGTTGTTTCCACTGTCTTTCCATTGACTCTCTTCTAAACAGTTTGTACTATGACTTCTGACCTCATCATTCAACTGAAACTGCTCTTTCTAAAGTTATCAGTGATCTTAGTTGCCAAATCTAATGACTTTTCTCTATCTTTTTAGTCCTTCTTTGTCCTTCTTGATGGGGCATCTAGGTGGCTGAATGAATAGAGGTCTGGGCGTGAAGTCAGGAAGACCTGCATTCAAATCTGAACCTCAGACACTAGCTGTGTGACTCAGAGCAGGTCCCTTAACCCTGTTTGCCTCAGTTTCCTCATCTGTATAATGAACTGGAGAAGGAAATGACAAACCACTCCAGTATCTTTGCTGAGAAAACCACCCTTACTACTTAACAATTATCCTTCTTGACCTATTTGCTGTCTTTGATACTGTCACTCACCCTTTTCTCCTGGATGT